AAGGAAAGGGAGGCACTGTGGTTCTTGGTGATTAAGAGCATCTATGAGCTGCATCAAAATGGGTGGGGCATGGGTCCTGCTAGAAATAATTCTTTAAAAATCCCATCGAGAGCTATTTTGACTTTACTCCCCACCTTTTTGCAGCATATAAGATATGATGCAAAATCAGGTCATAGGGTGAAATTTTGGGAAGATACTTGGTAAGGGGAACATTCCCTTGCTCTAAAGCTACCTTAGAACATATAGCATCGCCAACATCAGATCCTTCAAGATGTGAGCTTTTTACCCTTGGATGGGGATGAGAGAATTCGGGCACCTCGTGTCAATGACCTCTTCTCTTGTGCTTCCTTTTTCCAAACTTTTCTTCCATTGCTGGAAAATAACCCTTTCGCAGCCAAAGAATTTTAGAGTGGTCCAATTCCCCCTAAGGTTAAGGTTTTTCTGTTGGGAAGCTGTCAATGAAGTCATCAATACCCATGAAAGACTCCAAAGAAAATGGAAGATAACTGAAATTTCCAAAACTTAAGACCTTGGGTAGGATGTAGGAAATGGTGAGAGAAGAATTGAAATGAAAAATATAATCCAAGAACACTGGAATTGTTGATACTTGATACCTGCTTAGGAGGCGTGTCTGTGGTTTCATATTGAATTGCATTGCACAAACTTCCTAGTATGTGTCCTTTCAAGGCCAAATGTACATCTTCAATGTGTAATTTCATGCCTGAAAGTAAGAACTGCACATGCATTTGTCCATCTTAGGATATCTATTGTATGATGCCTGGTCAGATACCTACTGTGTGCTGTATATGATTGTTTATCTAGTTCATTTCATAACATGAGTTTTGTTCCTTTAGGGAAGTGGAAAATATCTCTAAGGAATTAAATGTAGAATTCAAGTGGGTTAGATTGACTGCTAATGGGATGGCTGATAATCTTGCTAAACAGGGGGTCATGAGACAGCAACTGTTTTGTGCTTCTTTGTAATTGTCTGTTGTTTGGTTTGGCTGTCTTTTCATCATTATGTACTACTTTCTCTCTTTAAAATTAATAAATTATCTCTTCTTGGCGATAAAAAAACACATGAATTTTGTTCCTTATATCTGGCATTATGAATTTAAGTGAAAATGCCAATTGCTATGGACTAATTTTCTAGCTGGCTCCACTTCTTAAATTAGATGAATAAAAGATATCCATGCACTATAGTCTGTAGTTTTGGTTTCATTTTCTAAAAAAACAGATGAACATGTATGTGCATTTTATTATATGGAAAACTTTTCCAGTCATTACAATATACTGGAACCAGGATTATGACAGTTTTTCTATTTTGGCAAATACTCGTTGCATCTGTATACCAAATTATCAATGCAAAGATGGATGTGCATATTTATATGTGTGCATGCATGCATACAAACTTGCATTTTTTTGAAGATAAATAAAAAAGAAAGTTTATTAAATCAGGAAAAGAGAATACAAAACCAGGTGATGAGAAATCAGCCAGAAAAAAGAGAAAAACTAAAACAAAGAACTCAGAAACACCCAAGACAACCTTCAACCTCCCCCACACCACTGAACCCTATAATGCTAATCAATTGCCAAACTCCAACAGCGACCACCCAAAAAACCTTTCCTATTCTCTGGTAGCCTTATCTTACTTTTTTGATAAATTATCTTACATCCTCATTTCCAACTTTATGAAAGCTTTCCTTGCAAATTCTTCCCTACCCATAAAGAAAAGGCCCATTATTTTACATAGTTGGACTTCCGCCTCTACCACTTCTTCCAACCCAATTTTCTTCTTGACTTCTCTTACTTGATCCACGATTTGGTCATCATCGCTCTCCTGTAATTCTGATCCTTCCTCCAAATCTAAGCCAGTCTTATTAAGATCTAGATCTGATTCCGCATGTTGCAAATCAGTAGGCCCAAAGCCCCTTTCTCCACAGTAGTTAGAAGTTAGAACCTGTTTAGAAGTTAAATATTCAATCCCCCTTTATTAATTCTAGCTTTGATTTTCATCTTCTTTCTTTTATTACCTCTTGAATGTGTAACAGGAGTCAGCTCCAAAGAGACCCTCCATCTGAGAAAAAACCTTTGTTACATGAACCAACTGGCCATTGCTTGGGCCCTTCAATTTTTTTGGCTTCAAAGAGATTTTACTTTCAGCATTAACCCCTTTTGTTGCACCTTCCAACCTCAAATCTGGTCTCTACCTCCCCAAATTCTTGCCCAATTTTCCCACTAGAATTTCAACATGATTCCTTTCATCAATTACTTCCTCCTCTACTAAACTCTCATTTTGAAAGTTGATTCCACTTAATGCCTCTGCTCTCTCAATTTTTTTGGATTCTTCTGCCTCCCTTAACTCTGAATCGCCATTATAATTGTTTACCTCAAAGCTTGTACCCCTCTCCTCAGAAAAAAAATGTTCTGCTGAAGCCCACCCAGCTCATCATTTCTTTGTACTACCTTTCTTCACTTTTAATAATTCTGTAAACATTCCTTGCACCTTGGCTATCCTTCAAAGACCCATCTTCAGAGAGATGAAGATCAGGAACCTCAGCAGTTGTTCCGCTGTAAACTGACGAAAGGCCCACTTTCAGCAGTTTCAGGACAGCAGACTTGCATAGCTCACAAGAATTTGGTTTTCCCTTTTCTGTGCTTATAAATATCAGAGGAAACCAGTTCACTATCAATTATGTGCTTATAAGATTAGCATGGCTTTTATATACCCCATGTCATATGATAATGTCAAAAAACGTTTCTTATGACTATCATGGCATACAGCAGTCGGTTGAGTCCGTTGACCTGTATAGCAGGTAGTTAGGTATTTAGCCAATAGCCATAAATGTTAAGTTTTGCAGGTAGTAGGTAAGGTTAATGCTAAAAGATAATAGTCCTAAGCTATAGTACCTTGATACTTTTACATGCTTAGCATGCATGTGTTAGACATGATATGTACTATCCTACATTGGATGCTTCTCTGGGCCAATAAGAACTGGCAATTCCATTCAAGCAGAATTACAAATTGTTCTTCAAGGACTTAAATTGGCAAATGTTGTCTGGTTATTGGAATATTATGGTAGAACATAAGTCTAAGGCTCAGTTTGGAAAGAGTACAAATATAAATATGTACAGTGCAAGTACAAGGTTTAGCAATACAAAATAATACAAGATTCAAAGTTTTGCAGTGTACATATTTGTATTTGTACTCTTCCCAAACTGAGCCTAAGTATACTTGCATGCATCACCAATGGAGAATGCCATAAGGTACCATTTAGTAACTTTTAACTTATGGTCTTTATCCAACCGCAAGCTTGTAAGGTCATGGACTATTGTTGGTTAATAAGAACACTGTTTCAGTAATGTAGGGTTATGATAAGTTTGCATGATAACCTAATAATAATGCACTTGGTGTAAAAATATTAGGTTTCAAATAATGTTCATCGTCACCCTTTAGAGCATAAAGTAGTTGCCTGTTCATCAAACTAGGACCATAAAAGTCTTAGAGAACAAATCTGTATCCTCTATCTTCAGGTTCTTCTAGCTGATAATTTGATACAATATGACTCATTCTCCACAGCAAAAGCACTTGACACCAACCTTATTAACTGCTGGCTTGGGCAAAGTGGCTTGTTTGATAGTAAAAGTGTTGTTTTGAGATTTTGTGGACTAAATAGCGTGTTGACCGAGATTGGGGCCATGAAAGTTAGAGATAGGTAGTGGGCTGGTAATGAAACTGAAATAGATTTTTGGGGATGGTTGGCCCTGCAAACCCTTTTAGCTGGCTACAAAATGGCGGTTTTTGGGTTCATACCTGCTGGCCAATTAGACACCTCAATTGTGTGATCAACAATTTAATTCTTTTGTTGTAACTGGTTTTGTTTTTTGTCTGTCTTTGTTGCCATAACAATAATTCCTCTATTGTCTTCATGGTAGATTTACTGGTTTCTTCATCATTGGAACTAGGACCTTAGGCCTTTTTAGGAGGCATCTTAGCTTTGCTATCAACTAATAGTGGCTGGTAGATAGAAGGAAAGGTCGATGATGACAATGGGTAGCCCTACTTCAAAAATCAAAATCCAATAAAGTTTGCTCTAAATCTATGGGAAAATCCAAAGAATAGTTGCTAGTTTTCTTCTAGTAGAGAACTACTAGAAAATAGCAGAGAAAAGAAGAATCGCATGCTTCTCCAACACTAATTTCAAGAGGAGAAAAGGCAACCATAAAGAAGAAAAGTTAACTCTTTCAGTTCTCATTCAATTCTGCTGTTCTGGACAGGTTCACATGTATGTATAAAACTCTTCAAAGTTTTGACTAAAATAGAAATTTAGCAATTACTAAAACTTCAGCTGATCCTAATCAGGATCCTACAAACTCCTAAGAATAGAAATTCAGAAAATAAGACAGAAAAATAGTAGTTGACTTAAACTAATGGTTTCCTAAACAAAATAGGAATTGTTGTCAGATAAGCTTGTAAATTTCGGTGCAGCCAATGGTTCCTTCTTCAACTCGTATGCTTTAGTATCTTTGGGATGCTCAAATCTCTTCAGAAACTGATTCTTATATCCTTTATTGCTGTTGAAGGCTCAACTACATCAACAACCTATACAAACAAGGGATGATGATTCTAGTTTTCAAACAACAATAAGATGTGCATCAGCCAGAAGGTTTTTGAAGTCCAGTTGGCATGGGGATTTGGATTAAATAAGCTCAAATTTTTGGGTTTAGTTTATTGATCAAATAGCTAGATTTATAATTGCTTTGTAGTTGATAAATTGTGAATTAATAGAAAATTTAGCTTTCTTTGTTGGTTACAACTGTTTTTTTTTTTTGGGCGCTGAGTATTATACACTAACAATAAAATAAGATATTTAGAAACACTTAAACGAGTAATATCATATTTATGTGGATTGCTAAACTTGTTTTACAATAGTTGTAGTATCCTTGTAATAGTCTTAAAACTGTTGAATAATAACTATTTTCCTTTTGGCTTCATTCAGTTGCAACAATCTGGAAAAGGGAGTGCAGACTCTGCAGCAGTTTGTCAAAAACTGAAGGGGGATCTGCAAACAGTGTTCAATGTGCTTCCTAAGGACATGCAGCAGCTGCTACTATTCAACCCACAAAGGGCATCCCTTTTACAAGGTAGCCTTGAACTCACAAAACTACCAGGGCACCCCTCCATACACGCTGGAGTAATTTCAAGCTCACCTGGGTAAAATCAAAGTGATGTCATGGCATTAGTTGGCCCTAGTAAAAGAAGATGCTCCTTTCCTATGGTGCCAATAAAATCCAGAACTCAGCATCGTTTCTTTATGCCTGTCTGTGGATTGATAGCTTGTCTGATTTGGGTCTCATTTATTCTTCTAGGACCAATGGGTATGTTCTTTCACTCCTCTCTTTTATTCAAATCCTGTTTGTCATCTTAAACTAGATGCCTTTTTCACTGTTCCTTTCTAAATGTAACAGAAGTGCAAGAACTGCATTATTTAAGGAGCGATGAGTTAGGTCTCTCCAAAATATTTGGAGATAAATCTTTTTCCCTCTTCCTTCTATCGTCAAACCGTCAGGCCAAACAAGGGAAGGATCAGGTGGGAACTACGATTTCAAATTCATGGTTCTTTAATATATTGCTGATGTGTGAAACACAACTAGTTTGTAAAACCAGGAACCTGTAATGTGTACAAAACTTGACAATTTACAGTGTATTCTCATTCTCATGTTTTACTAATGAATTTTGACAATCACGGATTTCGTAAGTCTAGAATAACTATGAATAAATAAATTAAATAGAATGGCTTTCTATGTAGATTTAATGATCTACCAAATTAACCAAAAGATCTAGGCATCAAAGTGGCCTCTTGAGATCAGTGCATTATTCTCAACCACCCAAATGTTGTACTAAATTTAACCAATCTACGCCATCCAAAAAATATTCCAAAAATCACAATTTTTAGACTATTAAAATGGTCTTTTAAGAGCAAATTAAACTTGGACATCAGAGCAATATACCAAGATTTCATCAAATCTTTCAAGCAAAGCACCGAATTTTCTAAAAAAGTCCAAGCCAAATGAAATAATGTGCAAAATAACATATAAACCTTGGGCTATCAAAATGGCATCCTAAGATCATTCAACTAAGTCCAACCATCTTAACAAACCATTTTAAACTTGATTTAATACCTCATTTGGATGGGCTAAATCAATTGAAATCTTCATATGTAATTTGGATTGCTGAGATTAACTGGTTATTCTTAGGAGAACCGTCAAAATAAAATAGGGTTATTTACTAAAACACCCCATGTAGTTTTATAGATTTATTTAAACCTCCCTATAGTTTTTGTTTTACTAAAACACTCCCATATAGTTTGCAACCTATTTACTTAATCAACTTTTCACTTGAAATATTTGTTTTGACATTTGAAAATGATAACATGATCACCTAATACCTTTTCGTGTAGAAAATAAAACTGACCAAATAGAGTCAAATAGAATGGTTGCTCATGTCCTATTAGGGGCAAAAATGGTATATTTATTTTATTTTCTTTTTATTAAACTTATTCAAGTGGACATTAGGTTTAATAACTATCATTTTTCATTGTCATCTAATAGAAGGAACATTGCAAACTATAGGGGGTGTTTGAGTAAAACATAAACTATATAGGATAGAATTTAATAAATCCATCAAACTAGAAGGGGTGTTATAGCAAATGACCCATTAACATATATATATATATATATGTATGTATGTATGTATGTATGTATAAATTAATGTTATGCCACCTCATATGGCCTCTTTGTGCTCCATTACCCCAAGGAACAATTCTAGAGGGGGTACAAGATTCCCTCTAAAAGCCTATGGAGTTGCCACCTAACACGGCAATCTCCCATTTTTTCCCTATTAATTTAGGAAGAAAACGCATTTACTTTATTTTAGGAATAAAACCCATTAACTTAATCCTATAATATATCTCTCTCTCATATTCCCAAACACTTGGGCCAACCCCCTTCTGAAATTTCTCCTAAGCTATCTCTCCCACCTAAAATTCATCCTAAAACACATCTTAATCTATATTACATGCCCAATAAACCATCTAAAAACCAAAAAACGTGGTTAAATTAATTTATAAAATATTTTGATATTTTCAATAATTACTGATATTATTGACTACTATTCTGTAAATATCAAAACCTAAACTATAATTCTTTGTAATTTTGGTAAATTGGAAAGTTTAATTACTAAAAATTACATGTTCAAAATTATTGATTTTGGTAATTTAATTTCAGAAATTTTTGAAAATTAACTATTGAAATCAATAGTTACCGAAAATTTGATAATTAATTAAAATATGAATAAATACAATTTTATTATTTAAAAATTATTGGCAAATTTTCATTGAAAAATTTATTTCAATAAATATAAATTTATTTCTTACATTTTCAGTAATTTTGATATTATCAGTAATTTTTTAGCAATGAGTAGTTATTGATATTTTTAGTGATTTTGGTCAATTTATTAATATTTAATGATATTATAAGATAATAATTAAAAAATTTCGATAATTTATTTTTTAGTGGAAAATTAATTTCAATAAATATAAATATATTTTTATATTTTCAGTAATTTTCATATTTAATATAATTTTTAAGCAATAATTAGTGATTTTGGTAATTTAATTACTAAAAATTACTAACTTTGGTAATTTAATTTTGTGAAAGTTAAATTATAAAAATTCCAATTATTCAAATAAATAATTGGGAAATTTTAATAATTTCTATAAGTATTGGATACTATATTTATTATTACCGTAATTGTTTGGAACTATATTTATGGGTTTGGGGGAATGATCCCTTGGGTAGGAATGACAATGGGAGGGTTTAGAGAAGGGATCATACTCCCTATCCCGATCCCAACATTTAAATTAATTCCCATCTTTGACCCCAATTCCCATTGGGGAAAAATTTAGCATACATCCCCAATCCTCGATGGAGACAAGTTCCTGAATTCCCAAATTTTTAATTAAAAGTTTATTTTTAAAAAGATATTTATTTAAAATAAAAGAAACTTAAAATAATATTTTAAAAAGTATTTTGATATATATATATATATATATAATATAATATATATACACATATTTAAAATATATAATCAGGGCCAAAACAAGGTGTGAACTTCACTTTCCATCCCCGTCCCCGTCCCTGTCCCCGTCCCATCCTTGTCGCGGTCCCCAATCACGTGTTCCTATTAACCCATCCCCTTAATTTTCTCTTTTTAACTTTTTTATTTTCTTTCCTACAAATTTCGTCCACTGTACATGCCCTGCGGCGGGACAGTCCAAAGCCCTATATTTTGTATTTTCTTATTTGCATTGCATAATCTTCCCAAAATGAGTAATCTTATCTTATATATCTTATATCTTATAATATATACTAAAAGCAAAAGGGTATGGACGAGCCCCCTGAGCTCGCTAAATGAAATCTTTCGACCCCTCTGAGCTTCCTAAATAGAATCTTCGCGTGCGAGTTCTAAGCTTGCACGTGTGGGTTCTGAGGTGGACAAAGCCCGATGGATGATAGCTTGGTTCTGAGCTTAGCTGTTGGAAGACCGATGGATGGTGGACGGTGAACGGTGGAGGATAGTCCGACGTATAAAGGCTAAGCACAACACTGAAATATGAATAGTCTATCTCCGATAGACCCACATTCAAAATAGTCCGATAGTCCGATGGACTCTAAGAACGATTTCTTCTGGGGAGCGGAGAGGGAGAGAGACAGTGTAGGAGCGAGAGGGAGACAGAAGAGACAGTGTGGGAGCGAGAGGGAGAGAGGGCATATGGACGATTGGCTCTGTTTAGCTCTACTTTGCTCTATTTTTTTTTCTTTCTTTGGCTGATTGGCTCTGGTTTTGGTTTGTTTCTTTCGTTGGTTTTGTTGCTCCTTCAACCTTTTTTCTATTTAGTTTGGTTTTCTTGTTAGGGTTCGCTTGGGGTTTAACTACAAGGATTTGTTTATGTTTTGCATTTTTTCGAGTTTTTGGGTGCAAGGCATGCATGTTTCGGTGGAGGCGCTATTTCTGGTTGCAGTTGTGGTTTTTGGGTTAGAGCTTTAATTGTGTTTGCAGAGGCCGTCAACAGTGGTGGTGGTTGGTCGTGGTTAAAGCTTTGGTTGGCCACGGACCACGATTTCCCCACGGTGGTGGCTCCGCGTCCGCAACGGAGCATGGGTTCTCGCATGCCTTCTCTTTGTTGGGTAGATTTTTTCTCCATTCTTTCTTTGTAGGTTTTTGGTATTTTGTATTGGATTCATATCTGTTGGGCTTTGATTCTTCTCTTCATCTTGCATGGTGGAAATGGGGTTCACATGCGATTTGAAGGAAGGAAGAGAAAGAGGGTACGGAAACAGTTTGTCCATGTTTCAAGCAGCTGTTCGCTGAATAATCTTTCCCTCTCTATTTTCTCTCTTTTATCATTTCTTTGTTTTATGTTGCAAGAATACACCTGTTGCATGAAGCACAGAGAGAGATTTTTTTTTTTTTTTTATAGCTTTGATTCTCATTTTTTAAACTAAACAACTTGCATCCTTTCACTAGGTACTTGTTTCACTATCTTCCTATTTGATATTAGATGGTAAAAGAAGTAATTTCAAGTAAAATACCTTGACAGTCGACTGTGGGTTTTGGTTCATATTTGACTTTCATTTGTTGTGAGTTGGGGTTTTGATTACATGCTGAATTCATTATGTTCTATTGTTAGTGTAACATTTTTTGTTGTTGTTGTAGACAGGTATGCTGGTATTTGGAGTGGATTCGTGGAAGGTGGTTTGTGGTTTTTCTCTTCGTCCTACAGTTAATGGAAACTGATGATGGACACGGTTTTCTACCAAGAAGGTGGTAGGCATGAGAGATCTAGAGAGAGAAAAAGGGTATAGAAATTGAAAAAACAGTGAGGATGTGACATTCGACGAAGATTTGAGCAGAAGACAACCGTCGTTCGTACCCTTTTTGGCTTAAGTGATGTGGGCTATTTTTCTTTTTTGGTTTTCAATGGTATCAAATGGTGGCTTGTGCATGGACCAAAGTCAGCAAAGTCAGGTAGGCTGAGACTTGGGACTTGGGAGGGCCGGAGGGGGTGGTTGTTGAATTTACCATGCAACTGAATTAGATGTAGAGAAAAGATAGAGAGTATGGGTAGGTTCGCAAGCATCACAAAAGAGCAGAAAAACAAAAACAAGAAAAATGGATTCATTGTCCGCTAAACTGTTTTTATGCTCTTAATATGGGTCTATGTGAAATTATGAATAAAGTTGCACTCATTTGTAAGATTTTTGATAAGACCATACGATGGGGCTTTGTTGATATGTCAGTTCACATCGGAAATGGGGCTTCGTTATTTTACTATACTTTATTATCTCTGTTTTTTTTTTTTTTTCAGTTTTGTCAATTCTTTTGAGATGCAGATTGGACCGGCCAAGAAATCAGACACAGCCTGGGCTTGCATCAATCTGCACGGGAATTTTTTCTTCTTGTGCGGAAATTTCGCACTTGAAATCTTTATTCGTGTGCGAACAACATCCGAACAAAACCTCTCTACCCTCTACCCTCTACCCTCTACCCATCCCACCAGGCACCAGCGCAGGCATCTTTTCTTCGCATTGATACATTGTGCCTTGTTCCTCAATAGAACGCAGAGCGGCGGCACCAAAGTCATTCTCCACCTCTGGTTCCACTCCATTTTTCTTTTCTCCTTTCCCTTTTCCGTTCTCCCCTCCATCTATCGTTTAGCCACTATTCATCTTCCTTGATCTCGTGACACCCGAACAGTGGCGGCAAGGCACCCTTATTTCTAGTTGGATTTTTTGGTGGTTTCTCACGAGCCAATCTCACACCATAGTGAGATCTATCGGAATTCGGAAGTTTCCCTCTCAAGTTCAGGTGAAGATCGCATCAGAACTACCTCCCCTTTCATCAACATCTTGGACGTAACCCCCGACCACTATTGCTGCTCGAGGAGGTAAATCTGATATCAATCGAAACTCCCCTGCATAGCATCGTATCTCGGGGTCAAAATCCACCCAGCAAAGATATGTTATCGTGTCTTGTGTGTTTTATTTTTGTTTTTACTTCTGGTCACCATTTCTTCGATAGTGATGGCATGGCATGGTTCACGTTGTTAGCATCCACGACGGCTCGATCATGGGTCACGGCCACTCTGGTATTGTTGGGCTCCTTCTCTTCTATGGCTTTAATTAAATCTAAATAATAATGTCTGCAATTAATGTGAGCTTCCCGCAAGTAAGACTAACCCCACTCTCTGGCTTAAATCTAAATAATAATGTCCGCATCAGCATGCAAGTCCGTGGCCTGTACTACTACTGAGAAGTGAGAAACTGAGAATATGTAGTAAAAGATTTTGAATAGGAAAGGAATACAGCCTTGTTGACTGCGGCTGTTAATGGTTCTATTTACAAACATTTTGAATATTTGAAAGAGGTTACAACCGAACACACTTGTCAAAACATAAAATAGATATATCTTTATCAAGAATAGTTGACGTGGCTATCCAAGAGGCTTAGGACTTGAGGATGGAGTTTTATGACATTTTTATCTCTTAACACCCCCCTTTAAGCGAAACGGGGGTTTGCACACGATGAGCTTGGGAAGAAAGCTAAGAAATCCGGGTGCAGCAGCAATAGGTTTGGTAAGCACGTCAGCTATTTGCTCATAGGTGGGAGTGAACTGTACAGAGTGTGTTGTTAGCAACTTTCTCGCGCACAAAATGAATATCAAGTTCAAATGTGCTTCGTGCGGGAGCGATGGACTGGATTAGAAGCCAAGTGTTTAGCACCCAGGTTGTTACACCAAATAACAGGGGTGCTGGACAGCGAAAAAGTTCAATGAGTAACATACGAAGCCAAGTAATTTTAGTAGCAGCGGAGGCGAGGCTTCGATACTCGGATTCTGTGCTGGATTGGGAAACGGTACTTTGTTTCCTAGAGCTCCAGGAGGCTAAATTAGACACAATAACCTCCTTGAGAACTGCCATCCATTGGGCAATTTGCCCAATTTGCATCCGAGTAAGCAATGATGGAGGTGGACTTCGTTGGTTGAAAGAGAAGACCATGAGTGATCGTGCCTTTGAGGTATCTTAAGACATGTTTAGCAGTTGCCCAATGGTCAGATGTGGGAGCTTTGAGAAACTGGCAAAGCTTGTTAACAGAAAAGGCAATGCGAAAGTGAGAAGGGTCTTCCAGAGCAGAGGGCAACAAGTTTAGTCGAAGCAGCCATAGGAGTAGGCATGGGTCTTCATGTAGATGAGTGTGCGTCAAGAGATCTTGTACATATTTGTGCTGAGATAACTGAAGTTCGGAGGTAGTACAATGCACTTCCAAACCAAGAAAATAATGGACCGCGCCAAGATCCTTTAAAGCAAATTGAGAAGACAATTGGGTAATGAGAGAAGAAAGCAAAGAGCTCCGAGATCCAGTAACGAGTAGGATAATAATGTCACCCTTGTCACGTTTGAAGAAAAGAGAAGTCAGCCCGGGACTCATGAAAGCCCAAGGACAGTAGATAGTCCTGTAACCGTGTGAATCACGCACGGGGAGCTTGCTTTAATCCATACATTGAGCGATTTAGTTTGCACACATAAGAAGGATGTTGAGGATCAATAAAGTCTATTGGTTGCTTCATATAAACCTTTTCGTGTAAGAGGCCATTGAAAAAGGCATTATTGACGCCAAGTTGAGGAATGGGCCAATGGTAGGAAACAACAAGAGAGGGAATAGTCCTGATAGTAGTAGGCTAAACTATGGGATTAAAAGTCTCATCATAATCCAGGCCTGCTTCTTAAGTGTACCCTTTCGCAACAAAACGGGCTTTGAAGTGCTCAACAGACCCGTCAGGTTTGCGTTTGATCTTGTAAACCCAGCGATTGTCAACAATATTCTTCCCCGGGGATGGTGGGACCAAAGTCCAAGTGTTGTGACTGAGAAGAGCTTTGAACTCATCGGCCATGGCAAGGACCCACTTAGGGTCTTTAGAAGCTTGTGTATAACATGTGGTGGGTTCAGTCTCACAAAGTGGACTGATAGTGAGGGCATACCGAGGATTGGGCCAAAAGACCCCTTTCTTGGCGCGAGTGACCATAGGATGAGTCGATGCACAAGCGGGTGATGGTTCTGCAATCACATTAGTAGTAGAGGAAGACCCAGCGGGTGAACCAGATTGGAGAGGTGCCGATGAAGAGGGACCCAAATCAGAAATACCTGGCCCACTATTAGATGTAGTATAGGCAGAGGTGCTGAAGGGCCTGTTGGAGAGTTCGGCCCAGTACTGCATGGGTACAGCACCGGAGGTGCCCCTGTAGCAAAAGAAAGTCCAGGTGGATGAGCATTATATGTAGTATCAGCAGAAGAGGCCTGCTCAACACAAGGAAAAGAGTGTTCATCAAAATCACATTACGGGAAATGTAAACCTAATTAATTTTCAGATCCAAGCACTTGTAGCCTTTGTGATGTCTACTATATCCGATTAACACACAGCGAGTAGCGAGTGAAGCGGGGTCCAGCTTGTCATGAGCAGAAGGCCGTAAGTGCGGGTAGCAAGCACACCCAAAAACCCGTAAGAAGCTATAATCAGGAGGCGTACCATAAAGTTTTTGCCAAGGAGATAGCATATGAAGAATGGGTGAGGGAATGCAGTTAATGAGAAAGACCGCAACATCAAAGGCATCAAAGGTTTCAACATATGACGATGTTCACGTTCAATTGCTCCATTCTGCTGATGAATGTGAGGGCATGATTTACGACGTGAAATACTAGTGTCCACAAATAAAGGACGCAAGGGGTTGTACTCAGAACCGCCATTAGTTCGAAAGATCTTGATTTTAGTATTGAATAAATTTTCAACATTGTTCTTGAAAACAACAAATAAAGAGGGAACTTCAGTCTTTTCAGATTTAGACTTAGGAAAAATCCATACAAACTTGCTGAAGCCATCAAAGAAATGCAAATAGTAACGAAGGCCTTCAACTGAGGGACAAGGGGCAGGTCCCCAAATATCAGAATAAATAATTTCCAAAAGGTGCTTGAGCTACTGTATTACTGGAAAAAACGGAAGTTTGTGACTCTTGCCTAAAGGATAAGCATGACAAAAAGTAACATCTTTACTACTGATTGGTAAGTGATGATGAGAAATAACATGCTTGGTAACACGTGGACTAGGATGTCCAAGCCGGTGATGACAAATAGAAGAAGAAGTCTGTTCGCCAACAAATGCAACCGCTCCAGAGGTGGGAGGAAAGGTACCAGTAACTCGGAGCTCATAGAGCCCGTCTCTAAGAGGCCCGCGAAAAAGAACCTTCCCCGTCATATTGTCCTTTACGCAAAAGCCATGAGAATCAAAAAGAAATGTGGCATTATTATCTCTAAAGAACTGGCTAACAGATAACAAGTTCTTTCTAATATGTGGGACCTGTAAGATATTTTGCAATAAGAATGAACCAGAACGAGAATGAACTATAGAAGACCCAATATGAGAAATCCACAAACCTGTTCCATCGCCTTCAGAAATCTGATCATCACCGGGATATTCATTGGAAACTGAAAGATTATTTAAATCAGAGGTCAGATGATTGGTAGCACCAGAATCAGGGTACCAGTTTGAGTCCCTACGAGAGCCGGTGGCGTCTATATAGGCGGTACCAGCAGGTTTCTGCGGGCAACGACCTATGAGTTCCAAGTAGCGACGACGTATTGCAGCTGTGTGACCCACGTGCCCACACAATTGACAAGTAACAGAGGGTCTTTGTTTCTCCTGTTATTGTTTCCAGAGGCCTGATCAGAACCGGCGGAATTGTTGCAACGATTATAGTCACGATTTCGTGGCTGATTCTTCATAGGATTGGTATTATGATTATGAGGAGCACCAGTAGACTTTTGTTGAGAAAAGCCTGAGTTGGTGTGTCGAGTTTTGTTAGCCAGATTGGCTGATCCTACATCACGAGAAGAGGTATGGTGTTCTAATCTTTTCTCATAAGTGAGAAGAAGACTTTGAACTTTAGTAAGAGTAAGTGCATCCAATCGTGTAGTAACAAAAATAACAAAATTATCATACTCAACTGGTAATCCGCCCAAGAGATAATGAAGTAGGTCTGCATCAGAGATAAGATAATTGAAGGCAGCAAGAGAATCTGCAAGTCCTTTGACTTTTTGAATATAATCTGCAACAGAGAGCTCTCCTTTCTTAACATTGGCAAGTTCCAACTTAAGGTCGTGAACTCGAGCTTGGCTTGTGGAGGAGAAGAGACGATACAATGTGTCCCAAAGAGGCACTAGTGCAACCAACAACCTGTGCAACTACTGGTTTAGATAGAGTGGAGAGGAGCCGGCT